GGGGAGGGGAGGGCCCCCGGCCAGGCAGAGACAGAGCCTCGGACGAGCCTCAGATCCTTCATCTACAAGTGGGGACATTCCACCTGGCCCCCGAGCCCCCGCCCCAGGTCTCCAGGAGTGAGAGCAGGCAGGCTGGGGCGCTTTGTAAACCTGACCTGCTTAGAAAGGTGGCGGCAGGCCTCTCCTGCTCACACGCGTCAATGGCTGCCCACCATGCTAGATCAAAATCGAAACTCCTCACTGTGGGATCCAGCCACATCCCGAATCTCTCTCCAGGCTTCCCCTGGTTCCACACTCCAGCTGCACTGACCACACCAAGCTCGGCCTTGTCTCAGGGTCCCTGCCTGGACTCCTGGTCACTCAGCTCACAGGCCACCTCCTCAGAGGCCTTCCTTGACCTCACCCAGGCTAAAGCAGACCCCCAGCCTGCCCTCCCGCCCGGCACCCTCTGTTACACCATCCTGTGTTACCCGAGATGTTGTCTGCGGTCTTTGTAGCCCCTCAAGACTGAGAACTGCAGGAGACAGGGCCTGGGCCTTCTTGTTCACTGTCCCAGCCCCCACACCGGCGGTTCCCAAAGTGTGGTCCCCAGAGCCTGGGAGGGGTGCCCGGGGGCACCTCTGTGTCCTCACCCTCTCCCTTGCCTTTCAGCCGACCTGATCTCCAGCTTCCTGCTCATCACCATGCTCTTTGTCATCAGCTTGAGCCTGCTCATCGGAGTGGTCAAGGTGAGGGCCTGGTTGGGGGAAGCAGAAGGGGAGCCAGGACCTGGGGGGGCTAAGGAGTCCCAGCTGCCCTCCCGACCCCCTCCCATTCCCACCCACCGGGTGGGCAGCACTGGCTGCCGAGATGGTGGGAGGTGGGTATTTTGGGAGGCCCCACCTGCATCCTAGAGATCTTCACACTTACCTTTTTGAGTGCCTTTTTTCCACACCTGACTCCTTGGGCTGGAGGCCTGGGTTGTTAAATACCCCTCCCCGGGGCCGGGGGAGGGCTGCACAGTGGGCGGCCGCAGATCACTGACACTTTGGGGACAACTGGCTGGTGACCACTTCCTTTTAAACTGCAAACAGAAGAACGGAATTTTGCTAGAAAAAAGAGGAAGGATCGTTCTGAGGCTGGGGGAGAGGGAGAAAGCGGTGGGTTTTGTATTCAGTGAGAGGAGCAGAAGAGAGAGTGTAGACCATCCAGCTTAGCTCATCCAGGGAGCAGAGCAGAGGGTCAAGACAGTCTGCGGCTCAGCCTCCTCCAAAAGAGGAACTCATCTGTCCCTCGGCCCCAGGGGAGCAGGAAGTCAGGGCCTTGCCACACAGCCACGGGGCAGGACCAGGAAAGGTGGCTGGCACTCACAGGGCCAGCAGAGTGGGACAATGACGTGGCTCTGGTTTGGAACGTCTCCACCTTGCCTGAGATGCCAGCATCCCCCCTAGCTAACACCACTGTCACGGAAGCCCTGCCCCAGGGAACGATTTCGCCTTGTGGCTCCCGGGTGCTCGTGCAGAAACACAAATGGTCCAGCTAGAAAGATGGACCAGGTCGTCCCGGAAGGCTCTGGGGTTCACTCTGGGTTGTTTCGGCCGCCTCCTGAGTGACTTTAGACAACCACATGGGAAGCCACAAAACCACCCCTTCTGCGATTTGGCCCCCTCTGTGGGCTCATACGCATCACTACTGGTCACAGCAGTCACTTGCTCTCTGTTGAAGGAGGGGGGCTTCAGCCTTGGCCTCCTGGGGCCTCTTACCATGACTGAACACCCCTGGGAGTGCCCGCATGGAGGAAGGTCCCACTGTTTAGGCAGCATGGGCTTTGCTCATGCTGCTATCTGCCTCCATTACCCTCCCCCTTTCCCTCCTGCTTCTTTCCAGAGCTATCCCAGTGTCCCCTCCTCCAGGAAGTCCTCTCTGATCCCCTCTCATCTGTAAAATGGCCCTTCCTCATTGGGTTCTTGAAAGTGAATTGAGTCAGACCCTGCTCCTGGAGCCCCTGGAGCACTTGTCTCTATAAATGGGGACTGGTCCCTGTGTCTCCCGCGACACCAAGACTCCTCGGCCTCGGGGCCTGGGTCTCCCCTTCTCCCTGCCCTCACAGCCTCACTCAGAGGCAGGCGTGTGGATCCGCGCAGGGTGACCTCAGCTGAGCCCGGCGGGTGGGGGTGACTGGGGAGGGGAGGGGGCTGCCAGCGAGGGGGCGCTTGGGGAATCAGGCTGTGTGGGGCCTGTTGTGTGAGGGACCCGCTGACAGTGCTGGGCCTGCCTTTCAGAACCGGGAGAAGTACCTGCTGCCCTTCCTGTCCCTGCAAATCATGGACTTCCTCCTGTGCCTGCTTACCCTGCTGGGCTCCTACATCGAGCTGCCCGCCTACCTCAAGTTTGCCTCCCGGAGCAGCCGTTCCGTGAGTACCAGCCCCGGCCCCCAGCCGGCCCAGCCGGGGGAGGTGGGAGGATCTCAGGCCAGTGAGGGTGGCCTGAGCCTAGTTGGTGACTCTCAGCAAGTCCCCGAGTCCCTCCAAATCACGCTGAGTTTCTTCCTCTGTAAAACGTGTCTGTGATCGCATCTCATCAACATGTTTCAGGAGCATTAAAGATGAAAATGTATGTAGGGTGCCCAGCTCGTGGGAAGCACTCAACAAATGCCCGCCCTGTGTGAACTTACACCGGAGGAAAGAGCATAAGCCCTGGGTTGGTCCTTGGCCCCTATGCTGTCCCTCCTTTGTAAGCAAGTTGAAGAAAGGAAGATAAAGATGGGTAAAGCTGGTGATGAGCATCCACAGTGGGAAGGCCGCAGCTCCCCAAAAGTTACTTCCCACACCTCCCCTGACTATGGTCCTTGAAGAGGCTGAGGAGCTGTATTGCTGAAGGGTCCTGGGCTGGGAGTCAGGGGACCCTGGTTCTGGTCCCAGGTCTGCCACCAGTGCTTGGTGCGAACGTCTGGGTGTCCATTTCTCTCCGGTACGGTGGGCTAGAGAGTGGCTGATGTCTCTGGCTGAGCCACTCTCTCAAGCTGAGAGCCCACCACGTACCTCACCATGCCAGGGCCTCTGGTCTGGGGCTTAATTGATGATCCGTTGTCTTCCTCCTCATCTTTGCCCTCTAAAGGGCCCCTCCAAGGTGCCACTGATGACCCTGAAGCTGCTGGACTTCTGCCTGAGCATCCTGACCCTCTGCAGCTCCTACATGGAAGTGCCCACCTATCTCAACTTCAAGTCCATGAACCACATGGTGAGTCTGGGCCGAGGGTCGGCTCCCGTCGCTGGCTGTGTGGCCTCGAGCAAGTTGCTTCCCGCCCCCGGGCCTCCGTGCCTAGGCTGGGTTCCCTGGCAGTGGAGTCTGGGAGGAGGATTCTGGTGTGAGTGATTTATGGAGAGAGAGCTCTCAGGAGGAGACTTCAGAGGAGTCGGGGAAGCAGCTCAGACCAGGGGAAGATGCCAGGCAGACGTGGCTTTAGGAGAAGCCGTGCTGGATCCCAGAGGGAGCCCAGGAGTGTGAATTGCACCGCAGAAATAATATTCATTTGTTATTGCTGTCTATCACATGATTCCCAAACATAGTGACTTAAAACAACAAACCATGTTATCCCACACAGTTTGTGAGGATCAGGAATTTGGGAGTGGCTTGGCCGGGTTGCTCAGTCTCAGGCTCTCTCCCGAGATGGGCATGGGGCTGTGGACGCCAGGGGCTTGACTAGGTCGCAGGATCCTCTCCCCACGTGGCTCACTCGCATGGCCCTTTGCCTCAATTCCTCACCATGGCTGCTCGAGCGCCCTCACGTCGTGGCTGCTGGCTTCCCTGAGTGAGCAGTCAAAAGAGAGTGAGGAGGAAACCGCCCCGTCTTTTCAACCCTGTCTGGGAGGTCACACTCACCTCTGCCCATTCTGTTATTCGTGAGATGTGAGTCTCCAAGTCCGCCGACACTCGAGGAAGGGGAGATGAGCTCTACATTCCAAAGAGAGAGGTGTCAAGGAACGTGTGCACAGATTGGCAGATACCGCAGAGGTTGTCCCCCCAGAACAGTAGCCTTGTATCCGTCAGTCTTCCGTTACGAGCTGCCCCTAGGGGAAGGGGCCCAACCTCCCAGGTGTTTCAGGGTTAGGTGGTTCAGCACCCAAGACGATCCTCTAGAGAAGGGCTGGGGGACAGGAGCACCAGCCAGGTGAGGCTATCTGGGTGGGCTTCAGCTGCGTCTGCCCCTGCACCCGCTTTGCTCGCCTGTCATATGGAGCTGGTGGTAGGTAGCACCTGCCTCCTAGGGCCCGTGCAGGGAGCAGCTAAGATTACAACTGAGCCACCCGTGTTCCTGCGTACATGGGGAGCTGGCTTGTTATTCTTTGACATGTGGGTGCTGTTAAAGTTCCTCCAGGGGCACTGATGTGGTCCCCAAATCTGTTGCAGAATTACCTCCCCAGCCAGGAGGGTATGGCTCGTAACCAGTTCGTCAAGATGATGATCATCTTCTCCATTGCCTTCATCACGGTCCTCATCCTGAAGGTGAGTGGCCCCTGCCCCACTGCTCTGGGAGGGGTGGTGAGGCTGTGCCCCAGGCCCACCCACGCCAGACTGTTAGGAGGCAAAAAAGTGTGTCTTCCGCTGCCACCCTCCCTGCTTCTGGCTCCTTGCTCCAGCCCTCCCTACACCAGCTCCTCTGACCTCACTTGGGATCCTTGAGGACACCCCATTTAGAGGAAGTGGATCCGTGAAGACCATCTGTGTTCAGGTGTCAGAGACTTAATGTGTAACCCAGAGAGGCCCTGATCCAAGGAAAGGAGGAGGTGTTGTGTCTGGAATCAGATTCAGAATGAGCTGGGTTTGAATCCCAGCTCTCCCTTCACTAGTTGTGTGGTTGGTTTCCAGTCACTTCTCTCCGTGCCTCAGGTCTCCTCTGTGAAAAGGACATAATAAGTCTTGCTTTGTCCGTGTCACAATTTTATGTGACTCAGGCACCAAAATGTAGATGGGTCCTGAGGTCATGTTACTAGAGTTTCGGTGATAAGAAGGAGGGGGGAGAATGATTTTTTCTCTGGAGTGGTCAGGCCCAGAGGATAGAGTCCAGTTTCAGGTCCCAATTCTTAGAGAGATGGTGAGAGACTGGAGTGTTAATAGCAGCACAGCACAGCCAGGAGGGTGAAGAGGCCGGAAAACTCGGCCATCTGAGGGAGGCAAGGAAAACAGGACAATTCAGCTTGGAAAAGTGATGACTCCGGGAGGACGTGATTGCCGTCTCCAAACACCCAAAGGACTGTTATGGGGATTCTAGAAGCTGCAACCAGGACCTGTGGCCTGAAGCCACGGGGAGGCTGATGTCAACTCAACAGAATGAAGGGCTTTTACAAGTGTTCTGTTCTGATTGTGAAATTAACAAATGGCCATTGTAGACATTTTGAAACTGCAGATGAGCAGAAGGCAGAGCCCTCCAGCCCACCACTCCGAGGCCGGCACTGCGCTCTCGGGTTCACTTCCTCCCAGGCTTTCCGTGCGGGTGGCTGTAACTGGGCGTCACCGCCTTCTTTCCTCTGAGGCCCCAAGCAGTCTCTGCCTCCCCTGATGCCAACCTGGAAACAGGGCTTCACTCCTCTTAACTGCCCTCCAAGAACCGACCCCCGACGAGTGCACGAGTGATGTGCCGTGAGAACTTTCCTGGAGGCTGGGGGAACCAGTATGGGGGCTTCCATCATACACTCCCCAGAGAACAGCTCCCAGCCCCCACCCCAGCCCATCTCCCCCTCCCCTCCTGTTCTTTATCCTCCTTGGGTGGGGGATCTCTGTGCCCCTCACTGGCCTCTCTCCACCTGCTCGATTTTCCCTGCCTCTTCGTGCTTCACTCTTTCATAGTTCATTTTATTTATTTCTGCCTCCTCCAGGTCCCCATTGTGGGACTCCATAAAACCAGGGACCTTCCAGATGACAGGAGCTGCTCTCCTTTCCTGGGAGGCAGTTTGGGGGCAGAGTGAGAATCATTGGCTGTTGTGCCTTGAATGTGCCCCTGGGGACTTCACTCCCCACCCTGGAAATCTTCTCCCCAATTCTTACATCAGCCGCATGAGGCCGGCCCAAAAAACTACCTATCTTAAGCAATTTTGGAGAAAGCCTTTCCCACCGTCAGCTCTGTCTCAAGATGGGCGGGGCCGTCTCAGGAGGTAGTGAGCGGCCAGTCCCCGGACGTGGAGAGGCAGAATCTGCAGGACTGTTGCCGGGGAGGCTGCAGGGTGGCCCAGAAACCTCCAAAAAGCCCCTTCCTGCAGAGTCTGTGGGGCAGTGAAAAGGGACATACGGGCAATATCTGGGACTGGTAGGTGAGGCGCCCTCACCAGAATAGGGGGCTGAGCAGCGGCAGCTGGATGCTGCCTTCTGGGGTGAGCTGGGGCTCCCCAGGACATGCCCGGCGTCCGTCCCGGGCCTGCTGGGGCAGTGAGCAGGAGGGTCAGCAAAGCACAGCCTGACCCGGGCCTTTCTCCAGGTCTACATGTTCAAGTGCGTGTGGAGATGCTACAGATTCATAAAGTACATGAACTCGGCCGAGGAGAGGACCAGCAAGACGCTCCAGAAGGTGAGCCTGGGGGTGGGTCAAGTCCCAGCTCTGCCACTCCCTGTGTCCTTTGGGGCAAGTCTCTTTCTCTTGCTGGGCCTCAGTTTTTCCACTTGTAAGATGAGGGTTGGACCAGAAGAAATGTGAAGATTTCTTTCAGCTCGGACAGTCTAGGATTCTGTTCATGCATTCAACATTTGCTGCCTCTTACTCTTGGTTGGCCTCATAGCCAACCCTGGGGGTGCAGAGGAAACTCAGCTGCCACCCATCCTATAGGAGTATATAGTCGAGAGTGAATCCAGAAACAGAGATCCAGTTACAACTTGGTGTGAAGCACGGGAGCAATGGGAGCACAGAGGAGGCACCCGGCCTCATCTGGGGTGTCAGGGAAGGCTTCCTGGAGGAGGTGACACTTGACCAAGTCTTAGACTGTCAATCAGTACAAGTTAGCTGGGAAAGGGGAAGGGGCCTTCCAGACAGAGTGATGAGGGGCACTTAGAAGCAGCTAACTGGAGAAGTGATGGGAAAGTGCAGCTGGTTTAAATTACTAGTGGCTCACTTTCCTCTGAAAGATGGGGATTGTCTTAGTCAAGACTTTTTTGGTTGCAACTAGCAGAAACCAACTCTATCTGACTTAAGTAAAAAAAGGGAACTTACTAGCTCACAGAACTTGAAAGTCCAAGGAGGTCTGGCTTGGGCCTGGCTGAGACCTGACATCGGGACGTGATCTCATCTTCTCCATCTCTTGACTCTACTTTCCTCAGTGTTGGCTCCATTTTTAGGCAGCCCTTTTCTCATGGTGGCAAAATGGCTGCCAAAACCCCTAGGCTGACATCCCACCCTCTCAGCAACCCCAGCAGAAAGAAAGTGCCAGGAATGTGTCTGATTGGACCAGCGTGGGTCACAAGCTTATCCCCAAACCAATGATGATAGCCAGGGGGATGAAATTCTACTCTGAGCAGCCACACCCAGGTCGCATGTACACTCCCTGGATACGAGGGATGGGACCCATTCTTCTGAAAGCACATGGACTGAGAATGCTGTTATCAAAATAAGGGGGTTTGATGCTGAACAGGCAGAGGCGAGTCTGTCCACTACAGGAAGACAAAGTACCCACGATGTGCTAGTGGTCCTCAGCATCATCATCGTGCCAGAGGTGGGGGATGGTGTCCCTGGACTCCAGGTTGGGATGGTGGTTCCTTCTGGCCAGTCCTCAGCCCTCACCTCTCTGTCCATCCCAGGTGGTCCTGCCGTCCTACGAGGAAGCCCTGGCTCTGCCGTGCAAGACTCCAGAGGGGAGCCCAGCGCCGCCCCCATACTCAGAAGTGTGACGCCCGCCAGGCCTCAGCCCTGGTGCTAGGAGGGGCGGAGGTGCCTCGTAATCCGCTTCTTCGCTTTGGTGGCCCCTGTGGCCTGGGAGAACCGCCTGGCTGACTTCAGGACAATCCGCTTGTGTCCCCCTCGCTGCCTGCTTTTCCCGCGGGGCCTGGGAGATGCTCACCATTGGGCCAACCCTTCAGGCTGAAGGACTCCTTGGGTCTCTCATGAATTCAGCCCAACAACGCTCGGCTTATTTTGATCAGCTCTGACGTGTGTTTAAACGATTGGTCATTCTAAATTCACTGAGTTTGGTTAAACACCTCTCAGCTTGACCAGTTTCACCCAGGGGCTGACCAACCAAACACACTTGTCAGTTCAGCAAAATAATTTGGTCAGCCAACAACAGTCCATTGCGTTGGTTATAAATAGTTAGTTCACACAGCAATTTAGTCAAGGAATCATCAGTTAGTCCTCCCTGCCAAATACATGTATCCAATTTCTTAAAATAGCTTGCTTTAAACACTGATCAAGTCAGCCAGCCAGCTGGCAGTTTAGAATAGTGATAAAATTAAAAAAAAAAAATCAAATTAGCCCCTAAACCATTCAATTCAATCTGATCCAATAACCGGCTGCCCACTCTGGTCAATTCAGTACTTCTGAATGGCTGAGTAACTGTTAAATCAAATGAAAATTCAGTCAGAGAGTTGCCAAACTGTCATTAAATGGCTAGTTCCAGGAAATAATAGTTGTTTCAATCATCAAACAGTCCCTTCAAACATACAATTGTTTGCTAAAGAGCTGTCATCCTCAACCATAGGTCACACGTGGTCAGTGTAGTCACACGGCAGTGGGTTCTGTGGAATGGGCCCCTCCCCACGGGCAGCTCTAGTAACGAGCTGTCAGGCCGTTCCACAGTCCCGACCACCCGTCATCCATTCGGTTGTAGGAGACTCAGTTCTGCCTGACGCTTGTGGTCAAGCAGAAATTCAGCCCTGAAATCAGGCAAATCCGTTTGTTGGACTAAATCCACAGATTAGTTCAGTCCAAACAGGCAAACCCTTTGTGGGCACAGACGCTGCCCGGGGGGCCCGTGTTGGTGGTGGGGGTGGGGAAGGTTTGAGCCCCAACACCCCCTGCTCTGCCTGCTCCCTGTGGGCCGGGGTTCCCGAGGGAGCTGACCCGAAGGCAGAGATGGGGCCACGGAGGCAGGTTCTCTGGGGTCCGAGGGGGGACAGAGGGAGAGGGCTGTGCAAGAGGCTTCCCGCCAGTACCCCCTTGTAATTGCTTCGTGTGTGACGGGGAAGAATTTTCAATAAAGCAGCAACACGCTTCTCTCTGGCTGATGTGGTTCCTAAAACATGGTGTAGGTGGGGCCGGGAACCCTACTTCCATCACCCCCAAGACACACACACACACACACACACACACACACACACACACACACACACGCCTGTTCGTTCAGTCCAGAAACTCAAGGGGCCACGTCCAGCTAGGGAGGGTCATGACCTGGCCCTGTTTCTGATCACAAGTCACGGACCTTGTGAGCACCGTGATGTCCCTCAGGTAAGGTGTGAACTCCACTCACCTGGAGAGTACCCGCCTGGAGCCGGGTCCCGTGCTGGGCTCTGGGGCTGACCGCAATGGGTCAGACTGGCGTCCAGTTACCCATGGTCTGGGGTACGGGAAAACACATCCGTAAATAATGACAATAGTACATGAGCAATGCCAAGATACAGAAAGTCGGGGGGACCTCAGACAACCAGGGGAGGCCTCTTGGAGGAGGTGACACCGAGCTGAATCTGAAGGATGAGTGGGCAGTAATAAGCAGAGTAGGGAAGGATGTTCTGGGCAAAAGCAGCCAGATGTGGAAGGCGGGGGAGAGGAGCTGGGGTAAGTAGCTCAGCGTGGCTGTAAGTGAGGAAGGGAGGGAGGCTGGCGAGGCCTTGGGGCCTGGATCACGAAGAGCCTTGCATACATTAGGTTCTTTGGCTGCAAGCCCACCCCGGCCAACTTCAGCCGAGAAGGGCATTTCCAGGAAGGAGATGGTTGCAAGTAACAGAAACCGTACTGAACCAAGTTTATTTAAAGAAAAAAAGGTGGCTGTGATGTTTCCTGGCTCAGATGAATGAAAAGTCCAGGGCTTTCTGCCTTCTTGGTTGGGCCCAGGAATCAAATTCTTCAATAATCTCTTTCTCTCTTTCTCCACCTTTCTCTGGCCTTCTTCCTCCTGAGCTGAGCAGCTGAGGGCCTGCCTGAGAGTAAAGTCAGTGGAGAGCCCAAGGTGGAGTGAGTTGGGCTCTGTCACCAGGATCTAAAGAGAATAAATAGAGCCTTGAATGGCGCCCCCAGAAGCAGGAACCTGTCCTGGGACAGGGGAGTGCTTGAGGGGTTTTGGGCAGGGGAGTGACGGGGTAAGGTTGGGTTTTAGGAAGGAGGAGACCAAACGCAAGGACCCATAAGAAGGCTGGTGAGGTCGTCCTGGGGGGAGGCAGAGAAGGCGATGGATTGGAGAGGTGTTGTCAACCTTCTGGGGTGGTCAGCTTTTCTTGGGGATAGCAGATTTCTTCACAGATTGTATCTGCTCTTTATCAGATCCCCAAGCCACTGAAAGAGTGAGGCTCTAATAGAGATGGACAGCGAGCTCGCATTCACACATGGGGGAATTGAGGCCCAGAGATATCAAGTGACTTTCCTGAGACCACACAGCATCAGGGATTAGACCAAGTGCCTTTTTTTCTACTCCAAGTGGAGGCTGTTGAGAGGGGCTAGGGCCCCAGTCTGGGTGAGCTCTTGCTTCTTGTAAGGGACCATATGAAGAGGCCCCCAGGGAACCCCATCAAATGGGGATTGGGGCAGAGGTCACGGGATGAGGGCATTGGCCAACGTCTCCAGCCTTGCATCCTCATCGAGAGGACGCCAAGCAGCCACGGCTGTGTGTCCCAAGGACCAGCTGGGGTGACAGCCCCATCTCCCCCCACCCCCACCCTGGCGCTGAGCCAAGGAACAGGCTGAGATGTATAGCGGGATTGTGCTCTGTGGCCAGGCGGCCGGGACGGGGCTGGCCCGAGGAACAGGAAATACCTGGGTTGGGGAAGTCGCGTGGCCACGCCAAGCCAAGCCAGCCCACGATCTGCTGGGCAGCCCTTGCTGCGGCCCTATCAATGCCCCGTTTGAGGCTCATACAGGGGTCCTTTGACAGGGCCGAGTTCGGACCCACTGAGAGGGCCTGTTGGAGCTAGACGCCTGGAAAGGAGCCGGCCCAGGAGAGCGGGGGCTGCGCACAGGCTGGGCAGTGAGGGCTGCCTGGACAGTCTCTCTCCTGGAGGGAACGAGAGTCGGCAAATCGAACCCAGGTGGCCGAGTGGGAGCCCCTCAGGTCCTCAGGACTGTGAGGGCAGCAGGAACGGTCCCCCGTAATTGAGTGGACCCTGCAGTGTGTCATTGCTGTGCCCCACACAGCAGATGCCATGCGATGATTATTATTATTATTTTTTTTAACAGTATCCTGAAATTTCCAGGCAAGCTGTTTTTTTAAAATTTTTTTTATTATTTATTATTATTTTTTATTTTATTTTTTGTGAGGAAGATCAGCCCTGAGCTAACATCCATGCCAATCCTCCTCTTTTTGCTGAGGAAGACCGGCTCTGAGCTAACATCTATTGCCAATCCTCCTCCTTTTTTTCCCCCAAAGCCCCAGTAGAGAGTTGTATGTCATAGTTGCACATCCTTCTAGTTGCTGTATGTGGGACACAGTCTCAGCATGGCCGGAGAAGCGGCGCGTTGGTGCGCACCCGGGATCCGAACCCGGGCCGCCAGTAGCGGAGCGTGCGCACTTAACCACTAAGCCAAGGGGCCGGCCCCGCGATGATTATTCCTGAGGCTCAGGGCGGGCAAGCCTCTTGCCCAAAGTCACGATCGACTGAGGGGCAGAGCTGGGGTTTAACTCCAACAGGCCTGGCTAGAGCCTCAGCTCAGCCCTCTGGTCCTCTCTGGCCCACCTCTTCCATCTCTCAAGGCAAGCAGGTGAGGGCATCATTCTAGGGAAGCCGCTTGAGGATAGGGCCTGAGTCGTGATTGTTGTTATAAGCCTGGCAGTGAGGACAGGCTTAAGAGCCCCGGGGCTGCTCGTGACGGAGGACGGGGGCTCTTGTGGGTCCCCACACAGAAGGCTGACGGGGAAGGGGTCCACGTGTGGTGTGCTGGCGGTGTGAGCTCCGGCAGTGGCCGTGGGGCTGGGGGACTCAGGGGCCATTTGGGAAGCAGGGTCTGCAGGGCCTGGACATCGAAGGGAGGAAGAGGGAGGGTCAAGGCAGGTGCCCAGGTTTGGAGAGCATTTGGGATGGTGGTCCCAGCTCTGAGCTGAGGACACAGGACGAGGGACAAAGAGGCTGTGTGGAGTTCTGGGGGTGTTGTGTTTGAGCTACCTTGGGGGACACCTGATGGGAGGAGCTGTGGAGATTAGGAGGCAGCTCTGTCTATAGGTCTGCAGTTCCGGAAAGCGAGGAGGAGGCGGTTGGCGTGTGAGTGTCATCTGTGGACACGTGGGTGAGATGCCGTGTGGGTGGGGTGTTAGCCAGCGTCCTGGAGGGGTTAATGCATCAGTGGGACACGATGCTGACCCATGGCCTCCCCGGACGTGCCCTCAGATGAAGATGCCTCCTTGCCCTGTCCAGCCTCTGGCTTCCGGCCTGCCCGACCACTTCTAGGGCCTGAGACCAAGACAGCATGGTGACGTGTGACCACCCACGTGAGACACCTCATACCCAGAGGCTGGGGCCTCAAGGGGCCGTGGACAGGACGGGCAACCCAGCCACGCTGCAGCAGCCCGGGTGGTGGGGGTGGGTCCACCCACTTTGCAGATGAGGAAGAGTCACCGTGTGTGTGGGCACGCTGTTCTACTGTGTGGGATCTCTGCCTGACTTTCGGTGAGACCAGAGATTCATGGCCGATCAGGCACCCTGGGAATGTCTCCAATTTGCAATGAAATAGTTTTAAGTGTCAAGAAAAGCAGTTTCCAGGTTAAAAGCAGTGAGGGGAAGACATGTCCTTGGGTTTCTGGGTGGCTGCTGCTTACACCCTCCACTGTGGGTGTAAGCAGCAGCCACTGTGGGTCTCTGTGGCCACAGGCCCTGCCCACCTCCTGCCCGGGCGGGCTCCCTGGAGGCCAGTGCCCACATTCCAGTCTCTCTCCTGGGCCTCCAGGAGGAAGCATCCCTAATTAG